TACTGACCAGGCTCACACCTGCTTAGCTTTAGTGGGTTGCCAGTTGTGAGTTGCAGGGTGATATGGCTGTTGGCTGTTACTTTGCTGTTAAGTACAGACAGATATATTCAGGTCCATTTTAATTAGAATTTAATATTTATTGAATAAATTTGAATTTATGCTTATGCTGTGAATTATCATATTAACTGAACAACAGGATAAGTACAGTACCTTTCTTACACAGGAGAAATTTCCATTTTGATGTGATTTTAGATGCATTCCAGATGAGCTAATCATACCACTTGAGATTTTTTTCATTTTCCTCTTTCTTAATATGTATACATTGTCATTTTATTAAAAAAAAACAGATATGAGCCAGAATGTGTCCATATTGGAAAGTTGTGTAGCAGTTTACCTCACGTAACACAATGAGCAATGTGGCTGGAGAGACATCTGTGAGACATCACTTTCTTTAACCCTTACTTCAAACCCTCACCATACCGAAGGAAGTCATTTCAAAATCACTGAAGAACAGATGAAAGATTTTTTTCTAGTTGGAAAGTCTTGAACTGCCATACAGCTAGTGCATTGTCAGCAATAAACTGAAAAGGACAGAATAGAAAAATGGCTGGCACTTAATTGCTTGCAGTTTTTGATAAATGTTTGGCAAGCAATACTGTGATTAATAATGGTGCAGTCTTGCTTAAAAGCCATGCCCTCCACAATCCCTTATGTGTGTTTCTGAAAGTCAGGTGAATATTTCTGTAGTCAAACCAAGAATGCTACAATACCACAGGTGGGAAAAAAACTGACATCTCTTTTGGACGCAACTGGAAGGCAAAGGGTTAAGCAGAATCAGAATATATTTCATCCCTTAGCTGCAGAGACTTTTTTTCCCCATTTTGACTGTACAGATGACATATTGCAGGCTTTTAACTCTCTCTGATTTGTTCAACAGATCGATGAACTACCGGAAGGTGCTGTAAAGCCACCTGCAAATAAATACCCCATTTTCTTCTTTGGGACTCATGAAACGTATGTATACACACCTGATACTTTTCACATGGGATCTAAACTAGACCTAAAAAAAAACTGTTGCTCCACAGTCATACTTCAGTGGCACAGATAGTGTTCCTGTGTCTATTGCAGTTTTTCTAGACTTTGAAAATGATGATTGAGTGTTGATTAGTTTTGGTGCCTGTAAAGCATGAAGTTTGCTGTTGGCATATGAAAAGACAAGTTTCAAGAGAGAAACTGATAATTCCTAGGGTTGACGTGTTCTTGTTTTTCATGCTGGAATTTGTATTAGTTTCACACTGAAGCTGACTACAGATGTTCGGGTTGTATAGCATAATTATCTCTTGTGATTGCTAATAAATGTATTTCATATGATGCAGTCTAAAATGTACACATCTATACTAGTTCCAGTATGATCTTTTGAATTCATTTTTCATATAGACTGCTTGGACCATCCAGTTAATTTGCATAACTCTTACAAATACTTGTCATACAAAATGCATAGCTGAAGGTCTATGGATTGTTTTATTTGGTTGTTACAAATAACACTTGTGATACACCCAAGGACAAGGTGATATAACAGGATCTTTAAAATAGAGGCTTCTAGTTAAAAAAAAAAACACACAGACACAGCCAAGATACAAAGATACAAAACCAGTGTGGGAGAACAAACCAAAAACAAAACCAAGCTCCTCTTTCAGCTACTCAGACACTTGCAACATACCTTTTTAATAATAGCTTGGCAGCTAACCTGCTAACTGGAGTTCACAATAACATCTCTCTCTGAAATATAAAACAGCTTCTAAAGTTCCTTGCAAAACTCACATCCATATGTCTGAGCATCATTCGTTGCTCACATTGTTCTCCCCCTGGTGCCATATAGAACAGTAAATCTGACCAGGCAGCAGTTGTGCAGTAAATAAAGAAGCCTCCTCTTCCTGGTTTTTAAATCATCAGCCAATTGTCATCTTCCTAATGGTCAGGTGACTTGACGGTGGCAGGACATTCCCTGAACAGCTTTCTGGGGAATGTAGTTCAGTCAAAAACTTCCATTTTGACTGAAGTTGCCTTCCCCTCAAACTGCATTGGTGAACTCGGATTAGCTTTGGAACAATAGCAAATTAAAGTAGAAGATTTGTATTAAAAGAAGCAGAATATTTTCTGCTTCTTTTAATACAAATTAATATTTCAAACACTTTGAAATATTTCAAACACTTTTGAGATATGTGTTTACTGAATTGTCTGTGTTGTTTTGTGCTTAACACACAGTAGTGTCTGGGCTCTACTTGTGCATTATTCTCCTATTACAGTGCATTTCTCAGTCCAAAGGATCTTTTTCCATACAAGGAGTACAAAGACAAGTTCGGAAAGTCAAATAAGAGGAAAGGATTTAACGAAGGCCTGTGGGAAATCGAGAACAATCCTGGGGTCAAGTTTACTGGTTATCAGGTGGGGCCACATTTCTCAAAGCAATTTCAGCTCTTCTTTATGATGTGGGACGGAAGTTCTGTGATGAAGGGAAAAAGGTCTCTTGCTTCTTTTATTTGAAGTTATTAAAATTATTTTATAATATTCATCTTACTTTTTTTTCTCTTCTAATATAATTTTACTCTAGATAGCTTTTGAGAGTAATCCAAAAGGATGAGTTTGTTGGTTGTTTTTGTATTATGTTCTCTGCGTTCTTCCATGTCTTATGTGCCTGACTGGCTGTGATGCTGGGATCAGTGTCACGGATTTTCAGATGTATAGTGCTCCCTGTTTGTAAACACGCACATGGCGTTGTGCATCCCTTCCCTCTTGCAGGCCATACAGCAACAGAGCTCCTCGGAGACTGAAGGGGAAGGTGGGAACACCGCTGACGCCAGCAGTGAGGGGGAGGAGGGCGACTCGATAGAGGAGGATGGGAAGGGCAAGAGGAAGGGCGACAAGGCTGGCTCCAAACGGAAAAAGACAGCATCTTCCAAGGTAAAACCAGAGGCAGAGGCGTGCTTTACAAATGTCTCGCTGCATGTCTTTGGAAATATTCTGTGGAGTTTATCACACGTTTGAAAGGAGGGTTAATCCCAATCACAACTACTTCCTCTCTCCTACTTATTTATGTCTTGCACCCAGGGCTTCCCTTTGTTTATCTGTCTCACACCTCTCCTGCCGGTACCAACAACGCCCTTGCAGCAGCCCCCCAGCTCATTCCGTCTGAAAGTCCCGAGGGTTCCAGTCCTCCTTGTCCTTACAGTCAGGCTGCCATTCTCTCAGCTGGAGCTAGTTACTCCAAATAACGTCTGCTACATTCATCTCTCTGTCACGTTCCTTCGGATCTATCCCAACTGCTGAAATGCATGCTATATGCCAGCTTGAGAGGGCGCACGGTAAAATCCAGGGATTCCTGCTGAGGTACAGGGTGGGTAATGCAGGAGCCCACAAATAAATATAGAATACAGGCCCAAATAGACAGTGATGTCAGATGAAGAACAGGAGGGAATGACTTCCCCTACTGAAGAGAATAATAGACCCCTCTGTGGTCAGCAGAGAAACCAAAGAATGTTTGCAGCATCGAGATCAAAACATGGTTATGCACGGGACAGTCAGCTAACAGAACAGCTGAGGGCCTCTGGTAGCCAGAGGGCTGCTGTCATTGTTCCAGGTCACCTGTCATGCGGTTTGTCACACAGCAGCTCATCTCACACTGTCACAGCACTTGTGCCCAACTTGTATTGTCAGCAGAGAGCACTGGAAAGTATTCAGACCATTCCAGCAGACGATGTCTTCCCAGAAAATCCTTTTCAAGTGTGTTAGAGTCCAGATGGCTTTTAACAGTGACAGTCTTAAAGTACCGATAATCTTAAAACACTCCCACACGATGGATCACAATGCAAAATCTTTTTTTTTTATTTGCATTCTCATGCGATTCCCATGGCACACACACAAATTCCTTTTTATGATTGCAGCACCAAAGAGAGGAGAGAAAAGGAATGGTCCCAGTCCATAAGGCAAAGTAAAATTATTCCAGTTCAAATTTCCAAAACCCCTTTAGGGTTAGAGATGTTCCACAGAAGTAGAAAAAAACACACAACATTCACACATAAAAACACAGAGCAGGGGCAACACCTTTTAACCCAGCGAAGTCTTCCTCATTGTTCTCATGGATACTTCCTTGTTTCAAACACCTCATCTGTAATTATGGGCAGTCGTGTGTGTGGCTCTTTGTGTTGTGTTGGTTGCAGCTTGGCTGCTCAGCATCTCTGGTTTGTCCACATTTTGAATGACCACCAAAAGCTACCTTCAACAGGACAGGTGGGCTGAAATTGGGCATACTAACAAGCAAAGCGATTCAAGAGAAGCTTAAGGGTCTCTGTTTTGTTTTTTTACCCAGGTAATTGGCTTTGGAACTTCAAATCTGTATGTTTTTGTGGAAGCTGTCCATTTCAATATGGTCACTATAGTAAAAGCACTTTTGTATGTACTGGAAAATCACAGAACATGAACTTTGTAGAAGTGTTGTAGATACTGTACATAATTACATAATTGCATTAAATTAAATTTAGTTTGTAAGAAAATAGGAAATTTACCTCTTGTTCATTTGACTTATTACCCCTGTATTTTTAAAATCTTTATTCTGCCACACACATTACAAAAATGGACTGTAAATATTTTTTGTGGGGTAAATGTTTAAATATAAACTAGTTTGTGACATAAAAGTGATGTAATTATGTCCTGAAAGTTAACTGCCGTAGTAAATGTTGTCCTGAAATAGGTAAATTCCTGTACTAATTAATGCTAATGCAGTTTCAACTTTGATAATCCGCTGAGTCCTGTGCATTAATCAAAAATGCAAGTTTTTCTTTTTCCTTGTTGTCTGTGATATTTTTGGTTTTACTAACAGGACCGAGGCTTTCATCTTAAAAGAATTTGTCTTGCCAAGTTCATACACAAACATAAATCATTAAAACCGCAGTGGAAGCATGTGTATTGAATTGAAAGTTGAGGCAGTTCGTTGTCACATCTGGTACTGCTGATTAAATTTGGCACACAGATAGGCAGACATTATGAAGCAACTGCAGGAAATGATTTCCTTTAGCCTTTAATATTTCTGTAGAGCTAAGAATAATGAGCTTTGTGCTCAGTGTTTTTCAAACCCCTGTTCTGAGCCATACAATATATAATTGTTGGACTAATAATGATACTACTAACTTTTAGTGTATTACTGCTAATTGTTCCACTTGCTGGCAGTAATAGATCATATTCAACTACAGTACAGTACCTGTTATTTGTGTTTCAGTTCAAAGTAAGGTAACAGAAAGCAAGCCATGATAAGATTTCTTTAAAAAGCCAAAGGGCAGTTTACTTAGGCTTCGATTATACAGGTGTGCCTGTTATTATGAAGGCTGAAATTCTATATGCCAACAGTACCCTTTAAGTGAAAGATGAAAGAGTTTCCATGTAAGCTGCTGTGTTTGTCTCCAGTGGAATAACAAGGAGAAGAGAAACTTGTGCCAGGGAGTACTGCAGGTAGGTGAAATGATTTGAATGAGGCGACACCCCAGCTCCAAAATGAAACAAACCGAACCGGGAGTGGGGGGTGATTCTCAGACCTTTTTCTCTCCTGAGCACTTGCTTAGCAACCACTGTTGCTTGGCAACTATGCTGTGTTAAATTCTCGCATTTTCCAGGGACTGACTTGGTAGAAGTAGACACTTCTGTCTTAAAAGCAGGACAGTTTACAGTAGCATCCTCTTCTTTGGTGTAGTTCAGATGTCTTTTTTGTGTTTTGCATAGGAACCGACTTTTCCCCCTGCAGTTTCCTGTAGAAGGGACTTCCAGATGTAATTCATTTATGTAATCTGGGTTTGATTTGAAATTTACTATATAATGCTTGATTTGCAGATAGCTTTGAGACATGCCTCTTTATTAAAGAAATAAGTCACTTCCTCCCTTTTATGCCGGTCGGGTTTGAATTCAGGATGTCTTTCTGTTGTCTTGTTGACAGTAGGGAGCAGGTGGGAGTGCTCATGGAATGCAGAACTGCTATGACTGGCAAGCTGTGAATGTGACAGGGTTATTTCCATATTATTTATTGAGTAAACAAAGTGTTAGGATTATGAAAATGCCAGTAGAAATACAAACACACAAAAAAACGTGTAACCTTTTTTATTTTAATTTTCATTTAGTTCCTAAACTTCTCCAAAAAGATTAACACTGAGCACCATATCAAAATGTTACGCATCCAACATTTATGCTTTTATTTAGATCAAATTTAGATCATTATAAGAAGTTTTCCCCTCCCTTCCCAGGCTGGGCTATAATCTGACCCCTGCCAGACATTCATGTATTCTGTCCAGATATCCAAAGTGGCATCGCTGGGTTTATATAGTCTGGCACTGGAGAGCTCTAGCGTCGTTATGTCCCTGAAGTATCATTTCCGTATCAGAAGGCCATGAGGAGAGAGCCAATGCTCTGTTATCAGTTTCTTTGCCGCAGTCAAACCAGAGAGCAGTTGACACTGCTTTAACTGAAGTTGTGAGTTAACATTAAGCAGTATCACAGCTTGTTCCACTGGTGTGATTCTTCCAACTGTTCCCAACAGAATGTATATCAGGTGACCCTAAAAACGACTGACCTATGTGCATTCCTACAACGTGTGCTTGAATGTACCACCTGTGCTGAGAGTTAAGAGCTTGCAAAGAGGGTCTGGGGCAACTCCCATCCCATATCTTTTGCAGGATGTCCAGTAGGGTCTATGACATAATTAACAATGAATGGGTTGTGGTCGTTAGGATTTTTAGAAGTATTAAATAGTTTGTCCCAAATTACAATCTTACCCTTTTAACTAAATTCAGATCTTTTCCCTGCAGTTTTAGTAAATTCAGTGGTGTACTGTACATGAAGCTTTAAGCAGGTCTGAATATTTAGTGGAGACCTGCCCCTTAGAGGAACTGCCAAAGACCCAGTCCTCAATGGGATGTACTGTAAGTTTGGATCCCCAGGAAACTCAATAAGCTTCAAAAGCAGAGAAAGATGGGCCTTGTATTGTAATATGTGACATTAGTTCCTGGAAGTCTGCCCTTACTGTATACTGTATGTCTTTAAGGATATTAACATTTATTTGTTATTAATGAAAATACTTTAAATAGCTGTGTAACTATCCCTGAAAGAGGAGTGCTGCTGGTAGACTTTCTCCTAAGGAATCAAGGGCTTTTTTGCAATCAAGTACAGTATTCTCATATCAAATACCCGACGCCCACTTGCATGGTGGGTAGGGCGATGATACAGGACTAGAGCTCTACCATTTTGCTCTTAGAGAGACACTTGTAGGGCATGTGGTTAAGCCGTGCTGTGTTTCCCCAGAAGTCTTCTAAGCTGTCGAGGAAGTCTTCGGGGGAAGAGGATGTGGATAAAGACAGTAAGGAGGATGAACACAAGAGCAGTTCAGAGGCTGGAGACCCCGACAATGACACACGAAATGCTTCAGAAAGCAAGAAAGCCGGCGAAGGGGTAAATTCTCGGCACATTTAAGTTTGGTTTTGAAGTACGTCTCAATTCTACTTATCTGCTATACATTAAAATGTCCTGCATTTGTAGCATTAAGTAAAGTAGCAGTATTGACAAGACTGACCATTTTAAACTTGCATTAAAAAGCATTTTCAAGCTGTCTGGCTGGACCAATGCTCCCTGCTCAACATTTCAGCTTCACCGAGGGCTTATTGCTTTCCGTAGATATCTTATTAGTATCTTCTTTAGCCTTGGGACACTGCTTTCATGTGTTCAAAAAGTTAAAGTAATGCACTGTATGTAGTTATATTTTTTGTGCATTAAACGTTAAAAAACACTGATCTATTAAATGATACCAATTAAATGCTATCTGTTTGCTTTATGGTGTCTGTTTCAAGCTGTTAGTATCCTGATAAAATAGAAATGAAGGAAATTTGCTTGTTTCGACAAAGATTATTTGCAATGTGTTACACCTGTCATGCGTTACTGCTACACGTTTAATATCTTGGGTTCTTACACCATTAGTGTTTTAAAAGAGAATAACGTCTTCAAATCTGGACAGTGTGTCCTGGTGACCTTTGCACCTACAGTATGCAAGGTGTAACCGATTGCATTAAAAAATAATTAAATGTAAATCAACTGAGAACAATTTCTAGTTTACAGTGATGACCTATAGACCATTTATAATATATAAATGTATTTTACTGGACCAATGTGACTGAAGTACCTTGCTATAGGGTGCAGTGTCCTACCTGGGATCTGAATGTACACCCTTCCAGTACAATTTCAGAATTCTGAACACCACTGCACACTGCTGATACAGCCCCATCACTGCACACTGCTGATACAGCCCCAACACTGCACACTAATGATACAGCATCACCACTGCGCACTGTTGATACAGCATCACCACTGCACACTACTGATACAGCATCACCACTGCGCACTGTTGATACAGCCCCATCACTGCACACTGCTGATACAGC